CTTTGTCAAGCCGCTTTGGAGACCCATCAGGAAGGCCACCATTTTGAAGTCTCCGTTAGCCTCCCAATGGTGCTCTTCATATTTCTAGACATCTAGAAAGGTCTTGACACTGCTGTATTCGTCTTTGAGTTGCATCAAGTGAGTTGGGAGAAGAGATAGATACATGCTCCAGTTATGAAGCAGCACAGCTTTGAGGCTCCTAGATGAGTTGTTGAAGAAGTGCAGCTTGTTGGAATTACAGATGATTCCAATTGCCTCAAACTGACCAGTCAAATTGTGGCTGAAATAAAGCCCAACTTAATAAGTGTAAAAGCTTGAAAAACACTTTCACTGACCTGCAACTTTCATCTTCCTCTTCTGAATTGCTGCTCTCTCTCTTTGGAGGAGTGGGTAAAGGAAAAAAAAAATCAATATCATCTGGTATTTGGATGATGGAAGGTCTGGATATAAGACATTCTTGCCAGCTAGACCTTTGGAAGGGTCCAATGAAAAACAAAATTGCTTGAATGGTCACTTTCCAAATTAAATTTCTGGGATTATTTTTTCATTGCTTTTTTTTTTCCATTCAGTACCATCCTGCAAAAGAGCAAATTAAAAATGAGTATAAAAATACAAATATATTTCACTCGGTGTTATTGAAAAATTTAAAAAAAAAATTGCATGTTTGAAATTTCCCCAAATCATGCTTTGGATATGTAAAATTCTGACTTTGTACCCCAATTAATGTAGCAAATACCACAAAAATACAAAATCTTGAATGCATAATATCCCTAATATTCCATATTTTTTATGGTTCTTGCTAGTGATCCAGTATAGAAAACCTCCATGATGCTGTGGGCAACAATGCACGACTGTTGAAACACTTAATACATGTAAACTTAAAAAAAAAAAAAAAAAAAAATCCAAACTTTTTACACTTCAAAACGCTTACATTATTTACATTACTCAGACTGTAATCCTCATCTTCATTGCTATATTCACAATGTTTCAGCTGTTGTATGGTCTGGCCTTCAAGTGATTGGAATTTTGAACCAAACCCTTTATTTTTTTTCTACTGGGCACAGCTGTTTGAGGTTTCCTATAGCCCCACTAAACTTAGTCAATTCAGGTTTGCTATGGTAAAAAATTTCTATCCCAAGTAAAAATCATCACAAAAATGGCAAAAGTCATTTTGTCACAGCTTATTTTCTCTGAAAAAATGGTTTTTCATACTTTTATAGGGGTAAAATATTGAAAAATGACTGTTTTGTCTTCATCTGAGCAAATATCAAGGAAACTTTTGATCTGAACCCCATGAAACCAGGTATAGCCTGAAAGCAAACAATGTTCTTTCATTTAAAAGTAAATGACTTAATTTTTTTTTTTTTTTTTTTTTTTCAGGGGGTAAAATATAAAAAATAGTGAAAATTTTGCATTTTTTTCTAGTTCTAAACAAAAGTTTTCCCCATTAATGGGAAATTAACCTTTTATTTGTAAATCAGAAAGCCTAAATCATAATCAAACCATTTCAGGCATAAAATTGAGTTTTGAAGGAAATCAATATTCCTAGTGGGTCAAAATGCGACAGTCCATTGGTAATTTTCAATTATATGACTGCCAAGGGTTAAAAAAATTTATACCCAGCCACGGAAATCTTTAGTAAAAGGCAAAATTTATCTGCAATTCCTGACCACCAGAAACCAAAAGTTTTTTTTTTTTTTTTTTTTCCAAAAATAGCAGCAATAAGGAAAATTAAACCAGATTGACTTTGACATCTCTGGGTCAAAGGTCAGCCAACAATAAATATTTAGAAAAAAGCTTTGAACAAGTTGTAATAAAACCTGCCACTCCCAGATAAGAGCAAAGTGTGAAAAAAAAAGGGTTCAACATTGGTAGGGGTTAATTTTTTTTTTTTTTTTTTTTTTTTTTTTACAAACCTAAGTTTGAACAATGGCTTGATGTGTTTTGTTTTTAACACCTTGTGACCCAGGTGATGACAACAGCACTTAACAGATAACATTGTTTGTTTGTTTGTTTTTTTTTGTGTCTTTTTTTTTTTTTTTTTTTTTTAGGCATGTCTTTCGTATTTCCCATCACTGGACCATTTAGCCATTCCTTTTATTCAGAGGAGAAAGGGATGAAATTTGAATATTATTATTTTAAAGTGAAAATAATTTTTTTTTTTTTTTTTTTTTTTTTCTCAGAAAATTGGGTATAATTTCTTTATGCTAGCCCCAAAGTGACATTTTTCACAGCCAAATCAAAGATTAATTACTACTGAATAATTCCATGTGCAAACAATAGCCGTCTGGATCCTATGTGTCCTTAAAATCTCCAGAAGTTTACTGATTGATCGAAAACTTGTTGTGCATAATTGTTTTTCACGGTCAGTTTCCATTATTTCAACTTGATGTCATTTTTCAACAGCCAAGTCATCAAGGATTCAGGAAAACAGTTTGGCACAAGTTTGCTTTAAGAACTTTACATTCTATGAAGTGTTTAAAATGTTACTGACGAATAGGATTTTTCACCGAATATTTAAATTATGCGCAATGTTGCATTTTTCCTATACGACAAAAACAGGGGTTTTAAACAGTCATGTGGGGTAGATGCCATGCCTCTTCTGGATGTCTGTTATTTCCCTTTAACTCAACTCGAGGCACATGGCCCAGTAGATAAAGACGTTGGTTAGATCCAGTGACTAGACACAGTTGTGAGCTACTGGAGTGTACAATGGCCATAATGTTGTGAATGAGGATAAGTCTGAATAATGTAAATAATCATAATACCTCATCTTGGAACTATAGACAGATTTCCATCTTAACTTAAGAGGTGCCCAAGGTTTGTCTTGATCCTCAACACACATGCTGAAATATGCCTTGTAGCAGATGTTGCCACAGAATGCTTTTTCACACTTGTCATAAATTCACCACAAGCATAGCAAAATGCATCCGCTGGATGCTAACAACCTCTTGATGCCATCTGTAATGAATAAATCTATTAATGATCTGTACTTAGACAGCTAGAAGTAAAATGAACTGTATTTATACTGCAATCTCTGTTGCCCGAATGTTCTAGAAATTCTTGAAACATTTTAAAAATTTCGAGAAAATTCTCCTTCAGCAACTCTGCACTAAATATATCTTAGAATGTAATGATAAAAAGTTTAGTTTCAAAACATCAATATCCAGGTCACAAAAGCAAAGTTTGAAAGGAATAGTCATTTCCTTTGCTTTCTAGACAGAAGCAATTAGGAAATAATACTTAATGACCAGTCAAAATTGTTAGTTATGTTTTGGCAGTAGACAGAAATTTTTTAAAATACTTCAAATGCATTTTTTTAAATTTCTAATTGTACAATACAAATACTTGTAATGTTTTTGCAAAAGTTATTTTAAGTTGTTAAATGTTTAAGTAAATTATAAATAATTGCTAGTAGAAAAATGACTGAAATGGCAATAGATTAAAGATCCTTTCTATGATTTTGAAAGGAATGTTTTTGGCCTGGAATAGATTGTAAATACTCATGTTGTTTTCTTTTTTTTTTTTTGTTTTTTTTTCTCCTCCTCCCTCTCCTGTTTGTGTGGTGAATTTTTAGATGGTTCATATGTTTGTAGACTAATCATAAAGTGCTCCAATAATGACTAATATGTCCTTCACTCTAATTGAAGTGAATTTACTAGCCAATATTAAGGTATATATTAAATGAATATTTCCAAAATACTTTTTTGTAGATGATATACAAGCAAAGTTTTTATTATTTTATATATCATGAAATACCAAACATCATTGGAGAACAGTATGTGAACACAATAGTAGCTGGCATCACCTTAGTTTAATATGGAAATTCCCAGACCTGTATCAGTTTTGCTCTAGTATCTGGTGAGTTACTTTGAATACCAGCTAGGGTGTTCATTAAGAAAGAAAATATGAATTACAGAACTTTAAAATGGGAATGATGGATGTCAGATGGAAAATTACATTTCTGAAATTGTGAGGACACTTGACATCTATGGTGTCATGTGTATACCGGGACAGCACAGTGGGGATGACCCTGGGTTTTTAATAACGTGTTGCTTGGCTAGAATTGTTTGCATTAATATACTAGCAACACTCAAATCTCATTCACATTTTAGCTTCCAAGAGATAGTTAAGATCCACTTGGGTGGCCTGTTTATACCAGAAATGCCTCACTTGATATTACAGATTGTACCTTTTTGGAGGGTTGGCAATGTGTGGCATGTTTCAATGAGTTACAATTCCAGTTGTGTTGGGCTGATGGTAAGGTTTGAGTGTTACAGAGATCCCATGAGACCATTATTTTGCTGAACTGTACACAATGGTTCTATCTATTCATAAACTTATGACAAAATAGGATTTCAACAAGAACTTTATTAAAGACCTTTTTGATCTAAAGTGTTTTTTTTTTTTTTTTTTTTTTTTTCTGAAATTTAAATGTAATAACTTTATATATAGCGTTATGTCAGTAATATTGGCATTAATTCAAGATCAGTGACAATGGTTTTTTTCCTCAAGTGAAATCTTACATCTTGCTGTGCTTACTATGAAGAATTTAAGTTTGTTTCCTTGCATCTTGTGAAAAAGTTAAAAGAAAAATAGAAAACAAAAGGTTTTTCTTTTCCATTCAGTACTGTGACATAATTTTTAAGTGTCTACATTTGAAATGGTTTGAAAAGTTGTATTAAATCCTTAAAATGGTTAATTATATACTTAAAAATGAATTTTAATCAGGTCTTTTTGGTTGTATGGCAATGACACTAAAAGGTGAAAGATAAAGGCAAGTAAAATATATAAAATTTTCTGTCAGCCTCATTTTCATACACAAATAGAATTTTTATATACAAGTGCACTTTTCAAAATTGGATCTTAGAAATATGTAGTCAGAAATTTTTTTGAGAAAGTATAATTTGAATATATACTGAATATTTTTATAGATCTTTTTTAACCGAGTTAAAAAAAAGGTTTAAAATGTTACTATAAACATTTCTGTTCCTTTTTAGATGAATTCCTTTGAGCAGTTGTGCATTAACTATACCAATGAAAAGCTGCAACAACTGTTCAACCACACCATGTTCATCCTTGAGCAAGAGGAGTATCAGAGGGAGGGCATAGAGTGGAAGTTCATCGACTTCGGACTCGATTTGCAGCCAACTATTGACCTCATTGAAAAGGTAGATTCTTTTCTTTCTTTACAATTTTCTTCCTTAAGAGTTATCTTGATGTGTGTGTGTGTGTACTATTAATGTCCACTTATAAGAATCGATATTAATTTTATTAACCTATTTTTGTTAGACTATTAAAAGTAAATTAGAAAAAGATTAAAATATTTCTTAAGGCTGCATTTGTGACTATGAACACTTTGAATTTTTTTTTATAGTACACTAATCTTATTTTTATCCAACTCCTAATTTGAACTGCTAAAGTATAAAATTTTTATTTTGAAGAATAGAAACTTTTTAAAAACTTTATTTAAACAGATTTGTTACTTGTCATGTGTAGTTCTGAGATGTTGCAGTGAGTAAAATGTTTTTATATTTGGTTTTAAAAAATGAAAAACTTGCACTTGACATAAGTGGGCCTGTAAATAAGCTTATAAATTAGCTTACCTCAAGTAATTTCTATCAAGTATTTCTATTCTCTTCCATCAACCTACAAAATATTTAACAGGTAAGCTGGTAAAGAATAAGTTTTAAGCTAAATTCACTTGTCAAAAGAAGTCAGTGATGATATTTTTAAATTGTTGAATTCATCATTTTTCTTTACTTTTGTTTTAAGCCCATGGGAATATTGGCACTACTAGATGAGGAATGTTGGTTTCCCAAAGCCACTGACAAAACTTATGTGGATAAACTGCTTGGACATCATGTCAATCATCCCAAATTTGAAAAACCTGATTTTCGTGCTGATGCTGATTTCAGCCTTATTCATTATGCTGGCAAAGTAAGTATACTCAATTAAAATTAAGTCTTAAGCTTAAATCTTAAGAATTGTGAAAATTATTTTCATTAATTTGGATTTCATTTAATTTTTTGTTAAAATAAGCAAATCTGAAAAATATTAAGAATATTAAAGTTTTGATTTAACTTGGAAAATATTTCTATGCATTTGTAATCTGTCTACAACTTAAAAGGAAGAAATAAGACTTGTTAAAAATCAAAGAACTTCGGTTTCTTCTACTGGTATTTCTTATACTGAAATGTCAGGAAGAATCTATCCTACTTAGCTGCAATGGGTTTCTGCTATCTATTACTTGATAAACCATTACAAGTTCAATTATCCCTTATGGCCAGGCTATTTATTTGTTGTCTATGGTTATATTGTATGTTTTTCAGTAGAGGTTTTTATAAACTTGGGTTATATGTATATATATATATGTGTGTGTGTGTATATATATATATGTTTTTCTCAATTTGCTGAATAATTTTGATATAGGATTTTTGAATTCGAGTTTTCAAAATTGATCTGATTGTGAATTTTCTGTAAACTCTTATACCTATGAATTCTTGAATTTGTTTCTTCTATTGCTGTGAAAACTGATTCTGTTTTCTTTGCTATCTCATTACAATTTTTTTTCCAGGTTGACTATTCTGCCCAAGCATGGCTTATGAAGAACATGGATCCCTTGAATGAAAATGTTGTTGCTTTATTGCAAAATTCATCTGACCCTTTCATCCAACTTATTTGGAAGGACGGTATGTTTTGGCACAAATAATTCAGTTGGGAACTTTTTTTTTTTTTTTTTTTCTTTTCTCCTCCTCGTATTAAGATAGGTACCTCCATGAGATCACTAAAAAAAAAAAAAAAAAAGCATAGCCAGATGAAAAAGATGCCAAACTTGACAAAAACAAAATTTTATCGTTTAAATGCTTGCTATTATTAAGACCAAAATTTCTCTCTTTTTTTTTTTTTTTTTTTTTTTTTTTTTTTTACCTTGTTTCTTTTGTATCACTGGAACAATTAAAATAACATACAATTTTTAAGCACATTTTTTTTGTATGACACACATTAATTTTGAAAATCTTGCAAAAATAAAAATAATTGATGGATGTTAATGAAACTTGAAATTATCATAAATATTTTTTTTATTTTTTTTTTTTATTATTATTAAAGTCATGCCAGAAATATTTCTTTTTATATTACCACCCCCCATAACTAATTTTATGAAAACGTTAGAAATTTGATCGTGTATAGGTTAATGATTACAATAGTTAAAAGCACAAGGCTTTGAGGAATGCAAATCATTTTTTTTTTTGTTTTTAATTGGAACCCCCCACCCCTGAAAATTAGCTCTGAATTGTAACAAAAAAATCAATAAAACAAAGATATTATTTAATTTCAAATGCTTTTATTTGTTTTTAGTTTTATGAATATGGACAATATTTTCTGAAAGCAAAAAAAAATTTTCGATGTAAAATGAATTTTTATACAATTATGTTATTTCTTTAATTATGATAGATTTTTACATTTAATTTGTTAAAATATTATAAAATTAGTTAAAAGCCACATCAGGTTTCCTAAATGTCCTTATGAGATAGATTTTTTTTTTTTTTTTTTTTTTATTTATTAGCGCATTGTAAATTGTCTGATTTTGACTAATCAGAAGATCCACAGTAATTAAATGTAATTTTGTGTTTATAATTGGGCTGTAATTATAAAGTACAGAAGACCAACCAGAATACAATTAAGTTGCGTTATTTCAGTTAAGCATTGTTCTCCGCTGTTAAGGCCTTTACTTTTGCGAAACGTGTGAAGTTAATTTGATTTTTCAATTTCAACTGAGAAGGGTACCTACAAATATCAGTATCATCTTATGAAATTTATATGATCTTATTTTTATATTAATCTCAGTTATGACATTTTTCCATAAATGAAATATCAAAATTAATAATAAAATTTAATGGAAATACAAATAACAGTAAAATGTAATAAATGTACATAAAATTATAGTATTTTATGTTCACTTCTGATAAAATTTCATAAGGTACCTATAAATAGATACCTTTCTTATGAAAATTAATCTCTCTTAAGTTTTATGTTTTAATTTCTTTATATTTTCCATAAAGCATCATAAACGTAAGGGTGAAAGCTAAGTACAAAAAAAAAAGTTTTCCTTAAAAATAATGAGGTAAGTAATTTGTTCACTCAAATCTAAATAACTTCACTTTTCGCCTTCTGTAGAACAAATTATGATCACGTAATCAGTCTGTCATTCAACACCTGTCAAGTGACGCAAAAGCTTATGACCTGCTTTACATCTTTTCAGCACAGAAGCTAAGTCAACCTTGGTTAAAAATATTTTAAATAAGCATTATAATTTCTGATTTTTGAAAAAGTGATAATTGATTTTCAAAGTGAGATTTTCATCTTTTTTATAAAATGGAAAAATCTGTCAATTTTGCTGACTCAAAAAAAAAAAAAAAAAACAACAAAAAAACGAATTTTTAACAAATTTCAGATGTGCTCGAAACGATTAAAAATGTAAAAAAAATATCCCCAAAATACATTGATCTTTCCTCTTAATAACATGAACATTTAGACGATAAAATTTTGTTTTCATCAAGTTTGGCGTCTTTTTCATCATGCTATGCTCTTTTTTAGCGATTTCATGGAGGTACCTATATTAAGAAATATAAGTGCATGAATGTGTGTGTGAAATGAAAATACAATCTTTACAATGTTACCTTCATAAGTTGAATGCAACATTTTGCAAATTGTGATATAACATTATTTGCTGATATTCCACTATTGATTTTTTTTTTTTTTTTTTATAGAATGTTCTAAAATAAATTTAAGTATCTTCCATTTTCTAAATTTTTCTATTTCCTTTTTCCTCTGTAGCATATATTAAAGAAAGAGGGTTAATCTATCAATATAAACTTCTAAAATTTCCTTTCAAGTAATGTTTATGAAAAGCTGATATAAACCTCGGTTTTTTAAATGAATATGTAAAACAGTAAATGACTTTGTTAGTGTCAATACTATGATCATTACAACACATTTTTATTTTTTCTATTCCTACAGAAGTTGCCTACTACATTTTATTTTTTTTTTTTTTTTTTTTTTGTTTGTTTTTTGTTTGTTTTTGTGTTTTTGTTTGTTGTGTTTTTGTTTTGTTTTTTTGTGTTTTTTGTTCTTTTTGTTTTATTTCTTAATTTAAAACAAAGGGAATATTTACGAAATTGAGTATTATATTATAAAAGTATTTATATTTAATGAAATGTTTACTATGAATGAGACAATTTATAAGATATACTTGTACAATGGCATATTTAAGAATGTGTAATTTTATGTGAAATATTTGTCTAAGTTTGTGAATAATTTAATATAAATGTGAATAATTTTTCTTCCATAAACAGGAATTAGAATTCCTGTTTATTGAAGAAAATAAGCTTGTCAGATGTTAGCCAAATGCATAGCTTAAATTTATTTTGATTTTTAATTTTCAAAGATTCTATTAGTTTGGGGGTGAAAAACGTTTCTGAACTTTTTTTCTTTAATTTATGTATGATTTTTTGAATAGTTTTACTGTTGGCTTTAATTTTTAAAATTTTTTATTTTTTAAATGCAGCTGAAATAGTTGGTCTTGGAGCGGCTGCTGCTGCTGAAACTGCTTTTGGCTCTCGCACAAGAAAGGGAATGTTCCGTACTGTGAGCCAGCTCTACAAGGAACAATTAGCCAAGTTGATGGCAACCCTCAGAAATACTAATCCTAACTTTGTCCGCTGCATCATTCCCAACCATGACAAACGAGTAAATAGCTTTTTAAAATCTGGAATTTGCAGTTTTTGTTCTGTAACTCAAACAGGATATGTAAATTAAAATAGTTCTATTTTTCTGAAATTTATGGAATTGAAACTTATATAAACAATTAAAATCAGTAAATTAGAATTAGTTAATGAGTGAAATGTAATTTTTTTAATTATTGAATTTACTGCTATGAAGTTTTTTTGTTTTTTTTTGTACATGCTACATATACTAATTTTCTTTTTAGCCTGGTAAAATTGATGCTCCTTTGGTACTTGATCAGTTGCGCTGCAATGGTGTGTTGGAAGGTATCCGTATCTGCAGACAAGGTTTCCCTAACAGGATTTTGTTCCAAGAATTCCGACAAAGATATGAGATTCTGACTCCCAATGCCATTCCCAAAGGTTTCATGGATGGCAAAAAAGCAGTTGGCAAAATGGCAAGTTCTTGACTGAAGTTTTTTAATTTTTTCTCCCACATTTTCCCAATTGTACTTTTCATATTCATTATTTTCTCAGAATTGGAATTTAATGACACTTAATGTTTTAGTCATTTGACTTGTAATTTAGAACATTAATCTTATGAAAAATTAGTTGTGTAAAATAGTTATGGGTATATTTTGAAATTATAAACATTAAGTGGGTGGTGGGAATACACTATTGGCTTGCTAAGCATACAAAACTATAATTTTGTATTCATTTGTTGTGAATTGAGTCACAAATTTTACTTATTAATTTTGCTATTAATCAATTGTTTTCTTAGGTTCTACTCACTTCATTAGCATCTAACTCCAAATATGAAAACATTTTGAAAATGCATTACTGGTGGGATTTTGTTTGTATTTGCTATAACATTAACAATCAGATGAAAACTTAAAGTAAATGAATTTCCCTCTCTCTTATTACTAGATTGAGTCTTTAGAGCTTGATCCTAATCTTTACCGAATTGGTCAAAGCAAGATCTTCTTCCGAGCTGGAGTACTGGCCCATTTAGAGGAGGAACGAGACCTTAAACTTACAGACATCATCATTCAGTTCCAGGCTTATGTGAGAGGCATGTTGGCTAGAAGGTAACTTTTGACTACAATCAATTGAAACAATCATTTAAATTTTAAGATAAATTTTGTTCCTTTTGAATCAACTTTAGAAGTCAATTATTACTGTACACAAATATATTAAACTTTGATGTATAACTTGATATTGTTATATGCTGCTTGGTTTCTCTCTGAACCATAAGATTTTTCTTTTTTTTTTTTTTAATATAAACAATTAAAATAAATCCAGTAAACGAATTTAGTCTTGTTCAAATAACTCTATAACTTTTTCTCCTACACAAAACAAAAATGAAGGTTGGGTTTTATTGCAAATTAATTCATTAAAGTATAACAGATCAGAAATAAGAAACACCTGGTGACTCAAATTTGTATCCATTTTGTCTTGGAAATTTGGTTGAAACATCAGCTGCTCTAACCAACTGAAAGTTGGAATAAGACAAAAAAAAAAACATATGAAAATAAAGATTGGTCAAAATTAATGGGAAAAAAAATGTTAATGCTTCATCTAATAAAAATGGTAACCTGAACAACTTTGTTTCTGGAAATGTTTTCTATAGTCATTTTGCATTTCTTTAAAAAGAAAATATTTAAATTGTCAAATTGGAAGATTTTTTTTATGCAAACTAATTCAATTTCTGCATTACTCAGATTAAGTGAAATGTTTGGTTAAATACAAATGTATTAATAACACAAGTTAATATTTGTAATATCTTTATTTCTTTTAAATCATAAAATTGCCCCTTTTTTCTTTCTTTTTTTTTTTAAACATCTTGTGTGTGTTTATTTTTTTGTATGTGTAACTAAAATATTAACGATTATTAAATGGTTCACTAAATGTTTGGAGAAATTAAGTTATTGGAATTGTACATTTTAATGATAGTTCTATTAACAGCAGCAGAAATCTTTTTAGAATGTAATTTTTTTTAATTCTTTTTGCATGATTAGTTTTTAAAATGTAATTCAAAGATATTATTTTAAACAGGAACTATCATAAACGTCTTCAACAATTGAGTGCTATCCGTGTGATCCAAAGAAACTGCTCTGCTTACCTGAAACTTCGGAATTGGCAGTGGTGGCGTCTCTTCACAAAGGTAAGTATGGCAAAACATTTGTGAGTACAGTCCTCTACTTTGAGTTGTGATATTTTTGCAATTCCATAATATTTCAATGTGTAACTTTTTTTTATTGCAGGTGAAACCTCTCTTATCAGTGACAAACCAAGAAGAAAAGTTGAATGCTAAAGAAGAGGAGCTTAAGAAGATCAAAGAACACTATGAAAGAACAAAGTTTGAATATGAAGACTTGGAACGCAAATTTGCTAACCTTGTTGATGAGAAAAGTCTACTTGCAGAACAGTTGCAAGCTGAAACAGAGCTCTGTACTGAAGCTGAGGAAGTATGTATGTCAATTCTGAATTGTCATATTCATCTGAACTGCAGAAGCTTTCATTTACTAAACTATTTCTATTTTCAGAGTTTGAATTAAATTCTACCAATAATTCTTTTTCATTCTTATATCTATATTAGAATGTTATGAAATGAACTCTTTACCCTGACATTAGAGTGAAAAATGATGCTTTTTTTGATTTTTTTTTTTTTTTTTTCACTTTTATACCAGTTACTGATGAAATAAATTTCAATTGAATAACTTCCTAAATTTAGTCTGGAGTCAATTCTTTTGTCCCTGTTTCTAATGTCTTGTAAAATATGCTTAGACTTTTGCAGCTTGATACGTTTTAGTACTGTCTTAACGATTTTCATTCTGGCCAAATTCCAAAATACTATTGACTGACTTTGGAATTTGTCTTGTCTGTTTAATTCTGACCAATGCTTAAGAGTATCAAGCTGCAGAAGTGTAGACATTTTAATATCTAAACTTGATCAAATGAATTTAAAGGGTGGGGTTCAAATCAAGTTGTAGATTTTAGTCACTAACTTGCATTCATTTAGTAAAATGCCCCCAAAAAAAAAAAAAATTCTATATTTTGCCAAAGCCAATAAGTTTGCACACTGTGAGACTTTTTTTTTTTTTTTTTTTTTTTTGGTGGAATGAAGTGATTGGCCAAAAATATATCCAGCTTTGTCTCTTAGACTCTCATATTTTATTTATTTATTTATAAAATTAGAATGACTCTTTATGTAGAGAATTGAATAATTAGATGTGTTATACACCCCTTTCCCAACTTTGCTGCATTACATTTAGAATTGTATAAGATCATTTTTATCAAAGCTTATTTTATTTGTTGCATTAAACATTTAAAAATATATTTTTATTCTTAGACACGTATTCTATTGAACAATCGAAAAATTGAACTGGAAGAAATTTTGAATGAAACTGAAGCTCGTTTAGAAGAAGAAATGAGAAATTCTGAGTTTTTGCATGATGAAAAAAACAAATTACGGCTCACAATTGAAGACCTAGAAGAACAGTAAGTTGATTTTGGTAGATGATTGAATTTGAAATTATACTGTCTGTATCAGTGTTGGCAAATTATAATTTGATGTTATTTAACTTTTGTCTTTTGTATGTTACAAATTTGCAGTAGTATTAATGATTGTGAGATAATTACTTATTGCTTTATTATATATAAATATATACTACTTATATATATATTATATATACTACTTTGCTTCGTGGTACCATTTTGAAAACTGGTTATAGTAAATGTTGATGTAGAAGGATACTTTTATCTGTTCAGTACATCAAAACTTGAATATTAAACATCTATAAATTTGTAATAAATATAAAAATTTTTTGAACTGGATCAATTAAACATTTTTCTTTTGAAATGTGCTGGTGGCTGTTATGACCTCAAATAAAATGTCAAAAGTAGTGATTTATTTTATAATTGTAGCTGTAACAAAAAAATAAAATAAAAAATAATAAATTATAAAATCTATGTATTTTTATACACTCATGGCATATTATTTAAAGATGACATGTACATTTACAAACTTGATGTAAATTACAGTTTGTGTGGTGTTCTGCAAGTTTTTTTTGGCATTATTTCCTACTGAGCAAGATCATGGGGCTTTTAAAAAAATTTGTACATTGGCATTATTTTTGTATGGATGGTATTAGACTTTATCCTTGATTTCTAATTGTTGATATTGTGTGTGATTTCATATAGTATTTGCTTTCTTTATATGCAGCAAATGATGCTTACTGAGTTCATATCACAGTGAGAGTTGAAAGGTCTAGCATTTTGAGCATAGCATAGTATGTCAAGATCATTTTTTGTGGTAATGGAATCATTGACTGAATTGGGAAATTGCAATTCTGAAATGAATTTCACTTTGTGTAATGAATTATTTGATATACTTTCATTAGAATGAAAATAAAAATAGAGTAATGTAGTTAAATCTTTAAGTGTATTGGAATAATTAAATACAAAATCTATCCTAAAATATCAGATTAGCGCTGCCAATTTTTCCTTTCTTGGCAGCTGTACATTTTTCCCTCGACTTTAGGAATATGCTTAGAAGGAAATTATTTTTAGAAATAACTTGTGCTTTATATTAAATATTTCCATTAAATTAAAGGTTATAAAATAGTTAAACTGAAGACTGATTGTGCAAAAAGAGTGTGTGCGTTTATGCATGTGTGCATTTTAGTAATTATATGCTTCTGTGAGTAAAATAGTCATTACGGACATGGAAATAATTATAGACAAAGTTATAGGAAAGTCATCTCTACATTGGAAAATATTTGTTTATAAAGACAACTTTTTTCTTTTTTTTTTTATTTCTGCATATAAAAGTTTATAAAATTTGGTAATGTGCACCTGTTAACTTTGAGATGCTAAGGTTGGCTGCAGAGATTTCATGACTTTATATATATATATATATATATATATATACTAGCAAAAAAAAATTGTCCCAAATTTCTGTTTGAATTAGATTAATGGTTCTATCTTTACATCTTGCTTCAATACACTTTTATTTCTAGGCTTGAAGAGGAGGAGCAAGCAAGACAAAAATTGCAGATGGAAAAATTGTCTGTTGATCAGAAAGTTAAAAAAACAGAAGATGATCTTGCTATAAATATAGAAGCATCTAATAAGGTAATATTTTATCCTCTTTCATGCTTTATATTTTAAACTCTATCTAATAATGCCTTATAAGTCTTAAGAATTTAATCTTATAGCTACAAAATCTGTTTATTGAAATATAACATTTGATTTTGTATCAAGAAAACTATCTACTAAGATTTTCTAGGTATCATGACAAAACTTAAATATCTTAAAAGTATTGTAATAATTTAAATAGCTTCTTTTAAAATGTTAGTCCTGTTACATTGCATAACATTAGTCATAATCTTGCATAAAGAGTAAAAAAAAAAATTTATGTACATAATATAAAACTTTACCTTATTTAAAACTTTATACAATTTGTCTTCATATACCAAAACTGCATAAAATTAAATGGAGGTGGGTGTAATTGACAAAAAAAAAAAAACTTTCACAAATCTTTTATAAAATCAAGATATAGTTTACATACAAAATGTTCCACAAGTGTAAATGACTCTGTCCAAAATATCTAATTATATATAATAGATAAAAATGATTATATCCTTCTTTCAACCAGTACAAAGATTGGTTAACCTGTTAAAAATGGCCATTTCATGCTGGCATGTTGCTTTGTTTTCATGTTTGGCATTACCTAATATTCTAGTATTGATTCTTGCTGGTAAAATCTTGGAAATGAAAATGTATTTTCAAATGTTTATGTAGGTACTTCAATAAATCTGTAACTACAGATCTGTCAACATGATCTCCTTCCACTACATTTAATTCATTAGTGAATATTATATTGACATTTCAAATCAAACTTAAGTTAATAACTGTAGACATTTTGTTAAACTTGGTCCTTATAATCTTATCATTTGATCTTTTTTTTTTTCTTTTTTCTTTTTTCTTTTTGTGTGTCATATAATTTTGTCACTATTTTCCAGCTTAGCAAAGAAAAAAAATACCTAGAAGAAAGAATGCATGAACTAACATCAAAATTGGTTGGTGAAGAAGATAAATACAAACAACTTGGTAAACAGAAATTGCGGGCAGAATCCGCTCTAACAGATTTAGAAAATCAAGTCCAACGAGAAACACAGGTGTGTCAATTTTCTTTTGATGCTTTATTTTATATAAATACTTTTTTTTTGTCAGTAAAGTTCTGCATAATCAAATATTGTTTATTTGTATATAATTTGCATTTTATATTTTTCCACTTTATAATTGACCAATGTCAATTCTTCCCTGTTTTGAGGGAAACTTTCAATTTGGTTCTTTGTAATATTTTAGCGATTTCTTTTGTTCAAAGAATCGGCAAGAACTTGAAAAGGTGAAAAGAAAGTTGGAAGCTGATTTAGCTGATCACCGTGACCAACTGAATGAAAAACGGGCTCAAGTTGAAGAAGTTCAATCCCAGTTGGCACGTAGAGAAGAAGAATTACAAGCAGCATTACAAAAGTAAGTAAATTTAAACTGATGAGATAATTTCTTTATAGAAAATTGACAAATGTGAAATAAAAAATTGTCTAATACAACTTTTATCTATTTTTTTTTTTTTTTTTTTTTTTTTTTTGAAGGTCAGAAGATGAAAGCGTTTCAAAAGCAACAACTATTAAGCAATTACGTGAACTCCAAAGTCAAATACAAGAGCTGAGTGAAGATTTGGATGCTGAAAAACAGTCAAGAGAAAAAGCTGAGAAGCAGAAAAGAGACCTAAATGAAGTAGGTATCTTTTCAATTGTAACTAAATAATTCCTATCAAAAACTATAGGAACATAGAAAAGACTTGTGCAAGTACATTAAAGATGGAAATATATTTACCAAAGAAAATAATGGTTCATTAGATAATATCTCATTCTAAATGGTTTGACTGAAATGTTTTTCTATTCACAAGTGTTTGCTCATTCATGAAATTAATAAGCATTACATAAATCTGCCATATTGATTGCTTCAAGAAATAAAAGTTAAATACTAAGATTTTCCTGCAAAAAAAAAAATCCTCCAGTATGTATGATATGCCTTGTTAGTTTAACAAATACTAGCTTATATTAAAAAAAACACAATGAGATTAGATTTGCTTAAAAACTTGGAGAAATGAAAAAGGTTACTTTGCAGTTCATTATATTATATGCAAAGTTTGCTTTTAAAATTTTATATTTATACTCCTATAAATTTTACCAAATTTTGCTAGATTTGTAAAGAACCTATATGAAGTAATTGGAAGAATTTGACATGATTTTTAAGTAAAATAAAGATGCATTAAATGAATTTTTTTTTTTTTTTTTTTTTTTTTTTTGCTGCTGCTGTATTAAGACACTCAAGGCATAGTAATATTTGTTTTAATTCACAGGAATTAGAGGCTTTGAAATCTGAACTAGAAGATTCTTTAGATACAACTGCTGCTGTCCAAGAATTGAGAAATAAACGTGAACTTGAAGTGGACAATCTGAAAAAAGCAATTGAAGAAAACCAAAAACAAAGTGAGCAACAGGCACTTGAACTGCGCCAAAAATACACCAAACAACTTGAGGCTGTCAATGAAGACCTTGATGTGATTAAAAAGGTAATAGAATTCAGTAATCAAGCAGACAATTGACTTCTTGAAACTTAAGTTTGTGCATTGTATTGTGACACTATACTCGGTATTTTGACACTTGGCCTCTATTCTGCTAAAAATACCCACAAATGTTGTACTTCAAAATCTAAAATCAGGGCCAAAATAACAAGTGCAACCTTTTTGGGTTAACATTTTCCACTCACATGAAGTGGAAAGATTAAATCTACCATTCGTCCATGCATTGAATAATGTTGCCACATTTGGTCTGGTGCTTCTATGTATTTGGAAATTCTAAAAGAATCTAGTGTTATTGGTCTTGACCTGGAATCCCTGGTTCACTCATTTTCTCACCACTGTAATGTAGTTTCCTGTGCCTTTTCTATATTTTCATTGTGATTGTTTTGATGAGTTTTTTTTTTTTTTTTTTTTTTTTTTTTCCAGTCAATTTTGATCTTCAAAAATTTAAATTTTTTGTTACAATTTTGATCTTCAAAAATTTAAATTTTTTGTTACAATTTTTTCCAGTCAATTTTGATCTTCAAAAATTTAAATGCAATGTCAATTATCTTTTGTCTTAATTCCTGTTCTTTTATTATTCTCTCTCAATGTTTTTCTTTTTTTTTTTTTTTTTTTCTAGGCCAAGTCTAGTTTAGAGAAAGTTAAAGAATCATTACAAGCAGAAAATGCAGATTTGGCTAATGATCTGAAGCAAATGCAGCAAGCTAAGCAAGAATCTGAGCGGAAACGTAAGCAGCTCGAATCTCACCTTCAAGAGCAAAGTATGAAATTGGTTGATACTGATAGAACAAAGAATGAATTGGGAGAAAAACTTGCTAAAATGCAGGTAATTGATATGAAATATTTTTAACATGAATCTCATAATACAATTAATTTTGAATATTGAAATGTTACATTTAATCTAATGCCATTAAATGTTGTAATTTCTCATTTCTTTGGATTTGCACTTGCCATAAAAGACCAATGAAATCTTTTCAAATAGTCTACTTTTTAACTATAAACACTCATTTTACACTGGTTTTCTGAGTTTTTGTAACATGAAAACAGTTTTTAGAAAGTTTTATTTGTAGTTTTTACTTTAAGATGACAAGTTAATTTTGATTTAAGAAAAGAACCCAAATAAGTGTTTGAATTTTCTTTTTTATACACATTTTGTGAGCAAAAGCATACAGATTTTTACTTTTGTTACATTTACTGCATGTGTAATCAAATTTTGGTTCATTGATTATATAAACAGTATGTGTGTGTTTTAATTGTAAAAAAAAAAAAAAATGATCACATGCTTAAAGCATCAAATGAAAATTGACCTTGCTCAGTTAAATAATTGAATATCCTTTCTCTAGATGCTGCACTACCCATAAACAATCTTTATATTGTATATATTAAAATATTGCTATTTGAATTTGTTACAGGCAGAATATGAACAAGCTGTTGCATCACTTGAAGATTCTGATGCCTCTGTCTTAGACCTCAATCGTAAAGTCAGCAACTTGCAGACAGATCTTGCCACTGCCAAAGTATGTAAAAAGAAAAATTAATTAAATCTCATCTTGTTATTTGTAAGTTGTTCATCTTTCAACCTCTATTTGTTTGTCGGGAAAAAAAAAAATACTTCATCCCCTGCCTTTTTTTTTTTCTTAAAGGAAGGACTAGAAGAAGAAAACCGTCTCAAGATGCAAGCACTGGCAGATTTACGAAATGCTACTGAAGAGAGAGAATCTCTGCATGACAAATTAGAAGAGGAAGAAGAGAACAAAAAACTTTTGCAAAAGCAGCTTGAAAAGAATCAAACTTTGGTAAGACAGCTTAAATTCTCAATGTTGTTTTAATCTGTATTACTATACCAAAGTGCATGTGTGTAATTAAACTAGGACTTTTTTGTATGGTTAACAATAAAACACTAAAGGTGGTGGGGTCTTGTTGACCTCATAATTGGTTAGGGTAGATAAGGTCATTACAGTAAATGTCATTGGAGGAAAAATTTGTTTATACCCTTGACATTCTTGGAGGTAACTTGGACAGAAAAGAATAGGTGGTACTTCCAATCATCTACAAACACAATGTTAGTGAACTTCTTAAGTCAATTTTGGATTAAAATAACTTTTTCTTAATTAAATAAGAACTTTAAAAAAAGCTTTGAAACTCCTTTCATCTTTACTGTTAAAAATAGTCCCAAACTACAAAAACTGCCAGCAGTTCAGTAGTCATGACTTCTTGATAATGTAATCAAAAATACTGCATAAAGCTCAAAGCTTCTGCAACAGATCCTTGGAGAAGTTCAGTTGTACAAATCAATTGATACAACTGCTTCCAAAGAATGTTCAGAATGCATCCTGACTTCTTAATGTTTATCTCAGGCTAAACTTTGTTAGCTATGCTAGGGTTAAATTCCAAAGCCATCTTTTCATCCTGATATTCAATGGGAGAAGCACTAAGGCTATATACTTAGTCCCTTTCAACCTAATGAAACACATTTTAGTTTGGGGTATATGAGATTTTTTTTTTTTTTTTTTTTGTGTGTGTTTGTGCCTAATTTTAATATATATCTATTTTTAAAAATATATATTTATATTTCAAATCTTTTTCTTTTTAAGATGGTTGAACTGAAGAAAAAAGCAGAGTCAGCTGAAAGTAGTCGAGATAATGCTGAGGAAGAATTGAAAAAAGCCCTGAGATTGATTGAACAGCTGCGACAACAGAATGCTGATTTGCAAGAACAAATTACTCGTTTGGAGAAAGCGAAAAAGAAGCTTTCAGAAGAGGTTATATTTTACAAAATATTTTGATTGAAGCATTTTTACATTTCTTGATAATTTTACATTAGCTTGTAACAGTTTGACTGAGAAAGGCTTCTTTATACATTTTTCTTGTTACAATAATTGTTTCCATCCCAAAAAAATATTGAATCAATCATGTTATAAAATGAAACATGATGATTTTAGAAATGGGATAAAATGTTCAGAGAAAAATCTGAACAAAGCATGTTAAATTTTTCAAGTTCAAGGAATTGAAAGAAAAATCCCACTGCCAGTAAGCTTTTTTGCACACATTTTACTAACTCTGATAACTAAAACAAATTGGAAAACTTATTTTTAATCATCTCTCATTATCTTTAACCTATTTTTTTTTTTTTTTTTTTTTATATAGTATAGACTTTGAAATGTTGAAGTTATTGATTTATTATTGGGCTTCTGAAAATGTTTTCCAGAATGAGGATTTCCGTGTAGAACTTGATCAACAAATTGCACAAGTCAATGAGTTAACAAGAAAACAAGCAAAATTCGATCAAAAACTTGCTGAAGAGAAAGCTATATCAGAACGGTAAGCTTCTTCGTATTTTATTTTTTTTTTTATTTTTTTATCTTTTTTTCAGACTATATTTTCAAATATAATTCATTCTGTGTCAATGGTCTGATCACAACAGATTTTTTTTTTTCCAAAATTTGGTACATGATAGAAATTGAATGTGTTTCATTAAGTCATGGAAAACAGGACAGGCCCAGGTTTGATAGCGCCAACAAATAATGTGACCAGTGTTTATTAGGTAGCGGAAGAATGGGAAACGGGTTATCAGGGAGCGAGAATCATGTTCCTTAATGTTGATTAGGGAGCATGCATTAAACTGTAATGCAAAGGGCGTATACATTAAAAAAATAATGTAACATCCACCCTTTTGTCAGTAGATTAGTCTCACATACTGTCCTTGGCTGTCATATCCCTCATCCAAATGTGTGTGAATCCAACAGATTTTTTCTGGTTCAGTTGTATTAGTGCCTTTGAGGCTGATAAGGATACTGCAAGTGCTCTTTGTAGAGCTTGGTGGTGGCTGACCATATTGTGCATGCTATACTGATTCAGAAGATTTGTGTAAATGTGTTTTGCTGATAGGTTCCATTCACTGTCTGGACTTTGAATGTTCATTCAATCAGTCATTTATAACACCTTTCTCCCACACTCTGTCATCTTTCTTGTATGGGTGCATTCATACAAAATCATCTTCACTCAGCACAGGTAAATATGTTTATGACAGTCATAGTATTTAACCATAACCTTCTGTCTGTTCCAGCAGAGTCTTGTTACTTGGTTCAAGGCTTGCAAATTCCTCTTCATTGAGAGAAGTGTACGAGTGCATAAAGTTAGTAGGCACTGAGAAGGGCTGCTTTCTGTTCTTTGGGTTGGGGTATTTCTGATGTCAAGCAGTATCAGAAACCAGTCCATGTGGATGTCTTTGTTTTTTCTCATGAGCCATTTTGCACTCTTAACTACAGTTCTGGGGCTCACCATAGATGTTCAAAATCTCATTTTTCAGAGTTCTTGAAAGATGATAGCATAAACTGGGCTCCTGTGTCAAATCAACTGACATGTAATCCCATATCTTGCAAAGTGTGCCTTCAATTTGCAGATGACAATTGAGGCAGTAGTGTCCCATTTCTCAGAAGTTTGAAAAATAATTGACAGTTACAAGCTACAAAATGGTACCATATAGGCGAACCAAAGTCCTTAAAATGAGTCTTTCTCAGTGCTCACTCGGGACTCCAAACGACACAGTGAGACCAACAATAAACAAACACAAGATGGGAGTATTCAATTTAATAAAACATTGATTTAAAAATATATATATATATATAAAAAAAAGAAATTTTCAACTATTATAAGGGATGGTTGAAACAAATTATTCAATGAGCAAAAACAAAATGAATTCGAATCAATCAAAATCTACTTTGCATTCCCTTTATTTATATATATATATATATATATATATATATATATATATATGACTCCTGTGAGTTATATATGTCCTTTTGCAAAAGTATAGTCCTTGGTAGTATTAGTCTTTCCTTGGGATTGATTGATAAAGTCCTTTTATGCATAAAAATATCCATGTCTGTTTTTCACTTGGTTTCTGCTGTGATAAGCCTGATTTCTCCTAACCTCCAATTCTTTTGGAGATTATCAAACACTGCTGATGTTTGGTTATCGTTTTGGTATTTTCCTTCTTTCTCTTCCTTAATGATAGTCTTGATTATCAGATTTTATAGATACAAAATAAGGACAGATCCACTGTCTTTTCCTTCAATATTCAGGCTGCAAATCCATTGAATTCTACTGATTCATTGATAATACAAAAAATGAGAACAGATCCACGGTTTCATCTGTCTTTCTCTTTATTGTTCAAACTGTCGTTCTATTGAATTTTGATTCAATAATAAAATTGGGGCCTGCAACTTTTACCCTTTCATTTTTTTTTTTTGTTTTTTTTTTTTTTTTTTTTTTCTTGCAAAATACAACAGTAAGGTTGAACCCAAATTTTGTCCACCTTCTTATCTTGACATCATGCCCACAACTCCTCATTTTTTGTCTTCTCCCCCCCCCTCTATGCTCACGTGATCTCTTTCTCTCTCTCATACAGAAGGGAGGAAAAAAAAAATGAAAGAAATGAACAATTCTAAGTCATCCAACAGCCCCTTAGAAACAAGTCACCATTTTTCTTTTTTAGGACTTTGGTTAGACAACTTCTGGGGTCAACTGTCTGTTTTCCTAATTCTTTGACTGGAAAGAAAGGAAAAAAAAAAATGGAAAAGGCAAAACTAACTAGAACATATTTGCTCATTAGTATAATTATAGATTTGGTATTATGATTATTGATTGTTTAATCATTGGTTGGGAGGGTGGTGTGACAGTTTCATCAACTTGTAGATGCACCTGGTCCTGTATTGATCCTAGTGTGCCGTTGAAGATATTTGCATAGTCTGTTAAATAGTTGCTTGCACTAACATTAGTTATGTTATAGTAGTGCACAGTTATTAGGTCCATTTGTTTGCTAGCATGTTTTCCTAACAAAGGGGGCCAAACACTCCTTGACTACAGTGAATTCCACTGAATATTTTTTTCATATCTTTGGGGGTTGTGCAGCACAATTCTCCATTTTCAAATGGGCGCTAGTTTCATGGTAGACGGTTGCAGATAGGTATTACCCACATATTTCTGCAGGATTACATTGATGGTAGCTCCACAGTCCACTTGGAACTTCACCTTCATTTTTTAGCATCATATTTGCATAAATAATCTGTGTCACTAGAAGAATTTGTAAAGAAAAACACTTAATTTTATGCTTAGTCTTAACCTGTTCGTCCCATAGAATGCTTCCTCTGACATTCAGTGTAAAATGATTTCTACTGTTACAATGATTACCTTTTTGGCCCCACGAGGAACATCATCTTTTTTTTTTGTGTGTGTGTGTCTTGCCACAGAAATTCCTATATATTTGTCCCTGTTTACAGTATTTTTGTTTGTGCACTCTGTTTATCTCATCTGTTATGTTCAGGTGTCTCATACACTTTCAGTTGTGTAGTCTTAGCTTCACAACTTCGGCATATGTTAATACATTGTTTGACATTTAGTGTTGAAAGCTGTAGCATTCTTGTAAATACCTGGTTGTATCTTACACCCAGCACTATGCAGTCATGTAGCAAAGAATCTTGTAAACATTCACAAAAATTACAAGATATGTTATGAAGTATAGTTAGGTATGAATCTATGTTCTTGCCTTGTTCTTGGTCTCTTTTGTTGAAGACCTATCATTCAGACGTCTTGTTAGGTTTGACCAACATTTTATCAGACTGTCCAAGTCCTCTTTGTTTTCTGTAATAGTGAATTGAAAACTATTGTAAATTATCAGCATATCTGGTCTGATAATGTAAAGAAATAGTGCCGTTTGGTATTCCTTATTTTGTTCATGCAGTTTGGTCATGATGCTGTAGTTATTCCACATCTGTTCCAGAGATTCCATTCTTCTGAAGCATCAGTCTTGATGTTCAGCTTGCCTGATGGCGATATATTTGACTGAAATCCTTCCACCATTTTCACACACATGGTCACTTTTTTTGCTATGTTATCGTCACTCCAAATGCTGGACACCACTGAAATAGCTTATGTGGAACTGCCTTTTTTGTTGGTATCCGTTTTCATTTGCATGAATTACTTCCTTATTGTCACTAGATTACATTAAATCATAGAAAACAGGACAGACTCGGGTCTGAGAGCCAACACAAAACATGACCGGCGTTTATTAGGTAGCAGAAGAGACTGGGAAAAGGGCTTAGGGAGCGAGAATCACGTTCCTTAACATCTATTAGGGAGTAAACATTAAATAATAATGTAACTGAATGGTACCTATTTTACATCTCTAGGTTAAAGGATTCCAGATATAATTCCCTTTGACCCTTGCCAAAAAGGTGAATTTTGGAGAATATTCACAAAGTTTAATATCTCAGTTGATTTTTCACCCACAAAGCAAAATTTATATACCATTTTAAAGTACCTGAATAGATCTAAAAGGTGATCTATCTTATTTGACCTTGACTGTTCTGAAACCTCCTTTTTTTTTTTTTTTTTTTTTTTTTTTTTTTTTTTTTTTTTTTTTATGGCAAGATCTGTACAAAATTTCGTGGACTTTTGGATGTGGCCCGAGTTACAAGAGTTTTACTGAGTCGGCCCAAATTCAAAATGGTGGATTTGGTATTTGCCACTATATGCAAACATTTTCGTCTCTCTCAATATGGTAAAGTTGTATATCTTTAGAAAGCTCCTTGAATATTGATTAATATTCACATAAAACCAAAAGAATTTATTTATGGTTAAATGTTGACCAATTTGGAAATTAAACAACCTTATTTTGGGTTTTGTTTACATTTTTATTATATAACAAATATGAAAAAGTGACATAATGAAAAATAAATAATTATTTAGAGAAAGTGCCATAAATTAATTTTATAACATAAAATATGGAGAAATACAACAAATCATGCTAATGGTTAACAAAGTGTTGTTGACATGGTACACTAAATGCACAAAATAATCAAATTTTCAGGGTTTTTTTTATTTTGTTCATATTTAAAAAATTAATAAAAAGTGATACATTGAAATGAATATTTTATTTTAAAAAAAAGTTTCTTAACATTTACAAAGAGATGAACAAGCAAACTTATTTTTCTGCTTATTGGAATACATGTTTAAATAGAAAATTTGGATATGCAAACCAATTTTTCATTCAAATTTTTTGTGATGACCAATCTTGATTGCATCTTTATTTACTTCAAGAAATTCTCTTTTCTAAAATATTTGAAGCATTTTCCATCTCAATTTTCAAAAGCTTATAAGTTCTTACAGTGTCTGTTATTGGATCAACTAAGAGTGTCAGAATAATCTAAAATTAATATATCTGGATGTAATGGATAACAGAAAGATTGGGAATGGCCCTTCAGTTGTAAAAATGTCACTTTTACATCTTCATTATCAGGATATTTTTCAAGTTCACATCCTAACCAGCAATTCCTATCATAGATTACTGTAACAAATCCCTTAATGTTTTCCAGCTCTATATTCTCCCGTTTTATAATTTTAACTATTTTTCTTTCATCCTGAGTTGATAGTTTTACTTCTACCACTTCCTGAGATGCAGGAATAAAACTATGTAGTTTTGAGTTCCTGTAATTGCTGAGGCATTTTTGAATCTATTTTCTGAGATTTCTGCTTCAATTGTCTGTTCATTTGTTGAGGAATATGAAATATTTATGCCTGAAATTTTTTTTCTTGCTTAATCAACTGCCTTGGTTTTCATTATAGGGTTGCTGCAGGCTTGCTTTTGCTGCTAATCTCTTAGTGTCACCTAACTCATCACCATGAGATGTAGCAAAAAAGTGCTACTCTGCATCAATACCAAAGTCAGCCTTATGGTTGCACAGTGATAAAAAAAATTTAATGTGAAGTGGCATCATCTGAGAAATAGATATTCTTTTTATTTTAAAATTAAGATTCTTTCTTTGGAACAAATGGAGAGCTACTACTGTGTCATGCTTGAGACAATCTGATATAATTACATTATTAATATGCTCCAGCTCTTTGTCATTTCTGTAATACAAGACAAATGGATGCAATGTGATTTGAGAATTATTCCAGTTGAAGCCTTGTGCAGCATTCTGCAAAATAAAGGAATAATTCTCAGCAAATTCTGCAATAAATGACTTCACCATTCATCAAAGAAATTTTCTTAGAACAAAATTTGGATTGTTCTTTGGCAATGAAATCAGGCTTTTTTTTTCTTTTTTTTTTTTTTTTGTTTCAATAAATTCTTCTCTAGATTATGATACTGTAGTGACACTGGCAAATTAATATGCCTAATTTGCATAAGTGCAAGAGAAAGCCTATATAACTCATCACTGAGAATAATGAAGTAAGAATACGAGCTTAGCGACTGACTAGTGCTATAAACTTGGACATCACGTCAATGGCGTCGCAGATAGGATCGCATTTGTCTCTAGAAGATTCAGATTATGTGGATGCATGGATTTGCTGTTTTTCTGCCATTGTGAGAAGTAAAAAGCTGGAAGACAACAAGAAGGGAAGCGAAAATGAAATTACGGATTTATTTTTGGCTACAGCTGGACGCAAGGCGATAATGAGTCTCCACCATGGCTTATCCCACAAACTCGGAAGACCTGACTTTCAAAAAAATAAGTCGGATTATAAGGAGAAATATGAGACCCAAGAAAAGGCTAGTAGTGGCAGAAAGAACAAAGTTCATGTCGTTGAAACAAGAAATTGACGAACCAATTATAAAATATCTACACCATCTATGAAATGCGAGTAGATATTGCGAATTTGAAAAACTTGGACAAGACGAACAGACTATTGAAGAGGACTTGATTCAATTAATGTTAATTGAAGGTATGTGCAATGCATCACACTGATTATAAAATAATGGAACAACTACAAATAGGAAATATATCTTTGACTTTTATGATGGTTGTATACATGCATTGACTTTATACAGCAACAAGAATTAATACAGAAATACAACCATCATAAAAGTCAAACCAGCGAACAAATATTTGCTGATATGTACATGTTAAAAAAGATAAGAAAATGTTTGTATTGTGGGTGTGAACACGAAATAAAAAGGGGAAAAATGCCCAGCATTTGGAAAAACCTGTACAAATTGCTTAAAAAAAAACCATTTTCAATCAGAATGCAAATTCAAAAAGAAAAACATTAAAAAGTTGAAGAAAACGAAACCAATATGGAAGTCTTCACATTAAAAAATAAGAATATAGAAAAAATTGAACAAAAGAAAAGACATTATACTAAAGGTTAAAATCAATAACTGCAATTTAGATATGCAAATTGATACTGGGAGTGAAGTAACGCTGATACCACAAAATTTTTGGGAACGCATTGGAAAGCCACCTTTACGAAAAGAGCTGTTTACAACTCCGCCAATTTGATGAGTCGGTCATAAAAACTTTAGGATACTTGGAGTTAGAAGATAAACAAGTTGTAAAAAGAACTTCTTGGAAACAACGTGCTTAACATAAATTCTACCAAATTAATTAATGAGATAAAAATGGAAAAAAACTGGAAAAACTAAAAAAAACTAAAAGCGAGTTTAAAATTAAAAGAAAATGTCCCCCCCTCTTATTATGAGGCACAAAAATTACCAGTACATTTGTTGCCATTAGTATTAACAAAACTACAAAAATTAATGGAACAAGACCTTCTTGAACATGTTCCCCCTGGGGGTAGCAAGTGGGCATCACCCATTGTAGTTTTGAGGAAGACAGATGATGATTTACGTATTTGTGGAGATTACAAAATAGCAATCACAGTCTGTTCGATATATGCATAGGAGCTAGTAATGAAAATGAATTAAAAAAGAAAACTGACATAATCTTGAATAGATTAAGAAATGCTGGAATGACAATAAATGAGAAAAAAATGCGTAAGCAATTGTAGTAAAATATCTTTTTTTAGGTTATTCCATTTCAAAAAAGGTATATCACCAGACCAAGCCTTGATAGAAAAAATACTAAAAGTAGCTACACCTACAAATAAAAAAGAACTGGAATCTTTTTTGGGATTGGTGAATTTTTACAGGCGATATTTACCAAAATACACGGACTTTACTGAACCATTTGCAAATTTAAGAAAAAAGAATGCTGAATTTAGGTGGTTGTGTGTGCATTTTTTTTTTTTTTTTTTTTTTTTTTTAAATCTGACAATATTTCTTATTTTATTTCTTTTAAACTGTGAAACTTCTGTTTAGGCTAGTTATTAATTTCACTTAAAATAAGAAAAAACATGGCTAGCAACTCAAAAACATGTACTCACTAAAAAGAAAACACAGTAATAAGAAATAATGTCAGATTAAAAAATTTAAAAAAAAAAAAATTAGTTTGCACTTTTTGTATGAAAGTAGCAGATATTGATTTGTTGAAGTCCCAATGAGATATGCCTTCCTTAAATAGGTAATTTGAATTTTTGCTTTATCAAGTTGGTTTCTTGTGCCCAAATTGGTAGCTTTTACACTTTAAATGATTTTAATTTAAATTTTCGTTTGGCCATAAATTTTAAAATTTGTGTTTGTTGGTGGTTAATTTTGCTGGACACTTCATATTAATTTAGGCAAAATTGTTTAAATTTTCATTTTGACTTATTTTTTCTGAATGTTTTTATTTATCTAGGTTAGGTGCTGAGAATGAGAAATCGCAACGTGAAATCAATGAAAAATCTACAAAAATCATGAATGTTATGAAAGAGCTTGAAGAAGAACGAGAAAAATATGAAGAAATGGAAAAGAAATGGAAAAAGTCGCAAAATGAATTGGAAGGCCTTGTATCATCTGTTGATTCTGACAAACGAAGTGTTAGTTTTTCTTTGACTTGCAAATATTTCCTAAAGCAATTTTATAGCAAATTATTTTGTTCTGATTTTTGTATTGAAAAATAATTCTTGTTGAATAAATCTGTTAACTGCATCTGATTTCTGAATTTTTTAGTTAATGAGGCTATTGTTTGGTTTATGATCAACACCTTTTTTATTCTGTGAAAGTAATTTCTTTAAACTCTTAAAAATATTACAGGTGCTTGATTTGGAACGTCAAAAGAAACAACTGGAAAGTCAGGTTCAAGAGCAGTTAAGCCAAATTGAAGAATTAGAAGATGAACTTCAAACAATGGAAGACAGTAAACTAAGAATGGAAGTGACTATGCAAGCTGAAATTTCTAAGCTGCAGAAAGAATTATCTGGTCGTGATGAGAATGCTGATGAAATTAAAAGAGGACTCCAGAGGCAGGTGGGTAGTAGTTGTCATTTACCTTAGTTTGACAAAAGGCCACAAGGATCAGACCATTACCACCGAACTAGCACACTATGCCCCACCCCCCACTTATCTCTCTCTATCTCTCTCAGTAGTGTTGAATCTGGCTTAAGTGCATTGTTTAAACAGTAAATCTTGTTTTGTACTGTTTGTTTTTTTTTGTTTTTTTGGGGTTTTTTTTTTTTAACATTATTTTCTTTGAACTCTGAAGCACTAAAATGCAAGTTATCTCCTCTTTGGTATGATTGTATTTCTGTCTGCCTACAAAGTTTTCCTTCTGCAGTTGGAAGCAAATATATGCTTTGGCTTCAATGTCTGCTAAATCATTTTGATGTCCTTTTATTCATTGAGACTAACATCTAGTAAAATACTAAAGTTGTTTATATTCCAAAATGCAGCAGCTTGTTAACAGCATCTGAAAACCATAAGCGGTCAGATTCAGAAAGAAATGCATTTTCTAAACTGATTTTTTATTATATTGATGCTAAATATATATTGAATATCTAGCAATGAAAAAGAAAATTAAATTTTTCTATACATTTGATATTAAACGTGTATGTGTTTTATATATTATACAAGTGAGTATATTTTATTTCTGTGAAACTTCTGTTTAGGCTAGTTTATTAATTTCACTTAAAATAAGAAAAACATGGCTAGCAACTCAAAAACATGTACTCACTAAAAAGAAAACACAGTAATAAGAAATAATGTCAGATTAAAAAATTTAAAAAAAAAAAAATTAGTTTGCACTTTTTGTATGAAAGTAGCAGATATTGATTTGTTGAAGTCCCAATGAGATATGCCTTCCTTAAATAGGTAATTTGAATTTTTGCTTTATCAAGTTGGTTTCTTGTGCCCAAATTGGTAGCAGCATGCTTTGACTATTTCTTTCCAATGGAAATATTTTTCTTTTTAAATTATACCATCATTAAAGTATTTTTTACACTTTAAATGATTTTAATTTAAATTTTCATTTAGTTGTTTTCATTTAGTTGTTTTATCATAATTCCCTATTTTGGGGATATTTACTTGGAATTTTTAAAGACTTTTATGAAGGGATCTTTAAATGTACTTTTTATTTTATTTTTTTTATTTTTATTTTTTTTTAAAGTTAAAAGAACTGGAAGCTGAAGTTGAGGATGCTAGGACTCAAAAAGCAGCTGCTGTTCACAGTAAGAAAAAACTGGAGCATGACTTGAACCAGTTGTCAGAACAAGTGATTGCAGTCAATAAACAGAAAGAAGATGCTATTAAACAAGCTCGCAAAGCTAATTCACAGATGAAAGAATATCAACGTGAAACGGAAGAGGCTCGTGCTGCTCAGCATGATGCAAATACTGCTTTTAAGGATATGAAGAAAAAAGTCAAATCATTAGAAGATGAGTTGGCAGTACTGCAAGAGGATCTTGCTGCAGCTGAGAGAGCCAGGAAAAATGCAGAAACTGAGAGAGATGAATTGCAGGAAGAGATAGCAAGTGGTTCTGTCAGCAAGTAAGTATCTTAAAAAAACAAAAAAATTCTGAAGAATTTTTGGTGATGCTCTGAAAGTAATGCCTACTTATTTATTTCTGTGGAAACACTATATACAGAGAGCATAACACTATTGAATAGAACAGGTTTTCAACTACAAAAGATTCTCCCAGCCCATTATCAGTACCATTGGCTATATATTTTTGCCAGAAATGAACAAGAACTTGTGTAGGGCTACCTGGAATATGGATTGTTATGCGCATCACCACTGTTGGAACCTATTACCCACTGCTTATCTGTGCTTGTATCTATTGTTTGATCTCCATAAACATTCAAATATCAATGGGTGCAAATTTTTTTGCACATAAAGGAAGTCATACAGAATGTCAGATACTATTTTGCCTAACTGCCATTCATTTTAACCTGCTGTCATAGGTCAAAGCTGAGTTATTGGTAGGGGATGCTTGAACCTTTGTCATGCTACTAACATGAAGTAGACTGCATTACTTTCAGAGTGACTCTTATTTGAACTGATAAGGAATTGGAATTTTTCAGTTTCACCTTTTGATGAATGGACAGCTCTTCAAATTATAAGATGAAAATAAGAATGTATTTTTGTTTCTTTCAATATTTTTTCTCAAGAAAAATCTAAATGTTGGATAAGTCGGTGCTCTTTCCAATGAAATGTAAAGGGTTTCATTTATTTTTTAAAAATTTTATAGCTTTTTGTTTGTTCCAAAATAATTTAGCAACAACTGCTTTCAAAGAAATCATTTTTATTTAAAACACATTCTCATTTCAATAATCTTCTCTTAAGACTTAATTTTATTTGTAACTTCCTCTATGACTTTAGTTTTGCTTATTAATAATTTTTGATTGTTGAACATTATTCTTTCTAGTTGTCACTTAATTTAAATTATATTTACTTAATTTGAAGCTTAAAACTTTTAAATATCTTAAAGTATTTTCTATCATGTAAAATGTAAAGATTTAAATTGATTTTTGGGAATTGTTATAAAAACATTTTGTGAATTCTTAGATAAATAAAAGAAAACTTAAAATTCTTTTTCTTTTGTTAAAGGTCTGAAAAGAGGTAAGACTTTGAATTGTAGTTTTTTTTTTTTCTTTGTTGTCTAATTATTTTTCTTATTGTGTTCTTTTGATTGGTGCTGATCTTTTTGTGATATTTTTGTGTGCTGTGATATTCTGCATGTGTAATGTTATGGAGTGAAGTGCTAACAACCTAATATTTGTATGCTTAAACTTAATGATTACATCTCTTTTGCATAGGTCATCATTAAATGAAGAGAAAAGGCGTCTTGAGTTAAGAATATCTGAATTAGAAGATCTCTTGGATGAGGAACAGAATAACAGTGAAATTCTTGTTGACAAAAATAAAAAAGTTAATGCTCAGGTAAGTTTGTTTATTAATCTTAGTTTTTGATTGCTGTTAATTTGAAAATCTGAAATTTTTTTTTTTTTTTTTTTTTTTTTCTGCTAAATTATTCACCGATGTTTTGAAATCTTTATATAGTATGAACAATTGCTCACTGAACTGAATGCAGAAAAGTCGGCATCTCAACAACTTGAAAACCAACGACTTTCTCTGGAACGCCAGAACAAAGAGCTGAAAGCTAAGGTTCAAGAGTTGGAGAATCAGGCCAAAATCAAACAAAAGTCAATGATTGCAGCATTGGAAGGAAAAATTGCTAATTTGGAGGACCAACTTGACCAAGATAACAAGTCAGTAACTTTTAAAAAAAAAAAAAAATCAAGATAAACACTTGTAATTTCTGCCACTGTCCAGTTGTATATTCAGTGTTTTCTGTCTTATTTTTGCACACAGTTTCTTAATGTAGTTTGCTTTCAGCAGTCTACTAAGACAGACAAATTTTATTATACAGCTCAACATTTTCACAATAAAATTGGTATTAACCAATTAATGTACATCTTCAAGATATGCTTGTGAGTTTATTTATGAGTTTCAATTCCTTTTTATATAAAAAATAAAAAAAGCACTTTTTTCAAGTCTGTTTTTATTATGCAAACTGAGTGCAACATGAATCCAAAAAAATTAGACCACAGAAAAATGCTTAACACAATAATCCCCATATATAGCTAATTAAGTTATTTCCAATGATAATATGGCCTCCTTGACATTCTATATCAGATTTTTGTTTTCCATAAATAATTGTTGCTTAAATATTTTCCATTTTCCTATACATCTTTTTAATGATTGGTCACAAGTTTTCTATCTGGAGAGGCTTCTATTTAGTCTCTTTTTGCAAGGTGGGCATAACAATGCTCTTTCAGGTTTTACAAGAATATGAAAGTGTTTTGAATTATATTCCCAAACTTAAAGCTTTTTGGTTATGTTCATACAAATTACATATTTCTCTTTGTGATGTTTAACCCATTAATGCCTATTGTAAAATCTGGTGTTGATTATAAAATAAAAATCCGGTATTAATTATAGGTTTCTACTTATAGTTTGTTCATTAATGGCCACTGTCCAATTTTTGTGTTAAATGTAGTAGGTTAGTTGTTTTTATTTCTTTAGCAAATGTCTTTAATACCCTTCATCTTTTCTGAGTACATTCACAATACCAACTTAACACATTTTCACAAGAAAATATTTGATGTAACAGTTTTTTTTCAAAATTATTTTGCAATTTTTATTATTTTATTTGTATTTTATGATCAAGACAAATATGTCTGAAATTAAGTTTACATATATAGTTTAAATATGAAAATATTCATCATACAAATATCTTGAAACTTCTGCCAACATCAGTTAATACTAATTTTATTGTGAAAACATTGGCTTGTATAATAGCATCTGACAATACATTTGATAAAGGGAAAGGCAAATGCTTTGAAAAAATTAAAAATTTAATATTAAAACTTTAAATTTAGCCTAATACGAAGGAGAAATACTCATGAAAGTACGGTCTTTTCTTTCCTTCTGTTGGATTCTTTTTTTTTTTCTTTTTTTTTTTTTCATTTCTTACTGTATTTACAATCTTTCTTTGCTAGGGAAAAGAATACAGCTATGCGTGCCAATAGAAAACTTGACAAGAAAATCAAGGAATTGATGTTACAGGTGGAGGAAGAACGAAGACATGCAGATCAGTATAAAGAACAAGTCAGTTTCTTTCTTTTAATTCAGTTTAAAAATAGGAATTAACATTTTGTTACAGAATATTTGCTCAAATATTATTAGCAAGGGCCATTTTTAATGCTAAATTTTAAAACAATTTGCAGATTTTTTAATATCAGAACATTTTAATTAAATGTAGCATGCATATTGGGAATTTATCTTTAAAACCAGAATATATGTTAACAAAACAACTTGTGAAGTTGAATGCTACTTAAAAAATTACTCTTTCATCAGAACATAAACTACATTTTTCAGTTGGAATTCTTTGAGTATTTTTAATTAAATCTTAGTCTGCAAAACCTTGATTGCATCATCAAATAGTATTTATGTTGGTTGGGGTTGTCCTTGAAAGCTATCAGATAAACATTTAATGGCAAATTCCAATAGTAAATGGAAAAATGTATATTATAAATTTGAAAAACTTTTGAAGATTTCACAACTTGTAAAACTTTTAACTGCTTCCCATTTTACTGCACTTATTGCTGATTAATTATTTTGGATATTCTAATGATTTGACTTATTTATATTGGCCCTTTAACAGCAGTCTAGCTTAACTGTAATTTTCAGGTTTTTGTTGGTTGCTTGTGTATCAGAAGTTGGAATTGTTCACTCTATGCCAGAATTTCCTTCTTTTTTCTTTTTTTCTTTTTTTTTTTTTTTTCTTTTTTCTTTTTTAGCAAGAAAAGCACTGGAAGAAGAGGACTTTATATTCAACACTTACTAAATGTTGTTAGCTGGATGGATAGTTTTTCAAGAAATAAAAACTTTGCCAGTATTTTGGCGATTTCCAAAGTAACAAAATTCCAACAATTGAAGATTATATAATTTTTCATTCTACATGTAGAAAGTTTCCTATTTATTTAATTTTTAAGTGTACTCAATTAATTTTGTCCATATATGCATTTCATTGATTTCAGGTTCTGCACAATCAGTTTTTCAGATACCTGTGGGTAACTGGGGCATAAGATGCTTAATGGCTCTGGGATGTTGGATAGATGTTTGATAGCCCCAAGCTAAATCAGTTATTTTTAGTTTCTAATTTCAGGTGATTTTGTTTTGATTGCATTTTGTCTTGTGTGTGGGGTTTTTTTTGTTTTTTTTTCTAATAAAACAAAAATAATTTCCTAAAAAGTAAATTTAAACAATTGAAATTACCATTTAAAATTTTTTATTTGCTCGCTTACCCTCCCCCATGTTAAGCGAAAATTGTAGACATTAAAGCCAAAACAAAACAGCCAATTTATAAATAGATAGAATGTTATTTTGGCTAAGATAGAATTTATTTAAGGAGACAAATCTCAAGATGTTATGATCAAATTAAATTTCTTTTGAGTTTTCACATTAAATTCTCTAATAAGTGAAATGGCTTGATTCTTTCTATGCCATGATTCTCTACAGCTTCTCTTTAATTTCTGTAAACTTCCTTGCCATCAGTCTTCTTGGGAAAGATATTGGCATGAAGTTCTTTCTCCATTGTTTTGAATTTAGTTGTCCTTGTTTGTTTGGATTGGTTGCTCTTTACCAAAACTCTAGAGCACTGTCCAAGGTCATAAGTGTGAAGTGGTTACAATAGCTGTGATCAAAATTATTGGAACTTTGCCTACCTTGCTTAATTTTTTTTTTTATTTATTTATTTATTTATTTTTATGTTCTCCCCCTGTCACTCCAATTACCTTCCTGTATTTACAGATGGACAAGTCAAGTGCAAGGGTAAAAGCTTTGAAACGACAGCTTGATGAGGCTGAAGAGGAAGTAACAAGACTAAACACTCAAAGGCGTAAACTTCAACGAGACTTGGATGAACAAATGGAACAAAATCAGATTGTTTCACGGGAGATGAGCAATAGAAGGCCACTTAGGTAAGATGTTTGTTTTAGATTAATTTGTATTGAGAATTTCTCAATAATTGTAAGATACAAAATGTTAGCTATTATTTATATATATATATATATATATATATATATATATATATATATATAATTAATTAGAAAAGTTGTTGATAGGGTGAGAATTTTCAAGAAAAATCCCTGATCATTTGAATGTTTATTGAATTGGCTGAAAATTTTTTTTTTTTTTTTTTTTTTTGTGGAATGGAATAAGAATGCCAAAAGAAGATATTGTCAAATCTAATTCAGTAAAATTAATTTCTGCAATCTCTTGATTTGAGGTTAAAGTGTGTGTCGCTTGCATTCTTAAGAAATTTAACATTTTCTATACAATATGACTTAGAAACATTTAATCAAAATTAGCTTCGGCTATTTTAAATACCTGTAAAAATCTGCAGCAATTAGTAGTAAGTTCATAGTAAGCTGTAGTAAAGTTCATTTTGAAGTTGTTAATTTCATATTTCAGGAAAAATCTGTTGTCTTTATTCTAACAGTAATGTTCTCTCAGTCTAAACTCATATCAATTGCATTATTATTCATACAAATCTCTGAATTTCTTGCATGTCATAAAAATAATGCTGGTTACTAATTATGATACTTATAAAGTGTCATAGAAACAAGTATCCTTATCAGAGGCAAAAATGTTATCCATTTCTACAGGAGATTTGTAATTTTTCTATTCTTTACAAATAAGCCAAACTTGATGTTTGACTAGCAAAACAATTTATGTAAAATATTTGTCTATAATTGTTGCATAAGTGTTTAATATAGAATTTTTCAAATGAATCTGTTTGATGTACTTAACATTATCACAGTATGATATTAGTTAACATCTCTTTGAGAATTCCATATTTTAAATGAAGTGTTTTGTTATTTTTAGGACTCAATCCCGAACTCCAAGGACAATCATCTCTTCTGTGAGATCAAGTGATGCAAGTGTGGAGAAAGAAGAGACTGATGAGGAGACAGAGCCAGCAGCTGAAAAGTAAAAAAAAAAAAATAAAATAATAAAAAAAAAAACCACACTGGTTGGTTATTAACCAGAATTGGTTGGATATGACATTGCTCTTAGTTTCATGGTTCTTTTCCTTGATCCTTATTTCAGGCTATCATTAAACCAGTACAACCAATGAAATCTTTAGATTTCTTGTTTCTACAACAACAGCAATAACAATTTGCATAGTTCTTTCTTCTCCAATTTTGGTTAATGACATTCTATTTGACCTATTTTATAAACTCTCTTTAAATTTGTAGTTGACTAAAAGCTTTTTTAAATCTGCATCCAAGTCTCTTCCTATTTTGGTCATAACTGACTAATCTTCATTTATTTGGTTAATATACAATGGAATTTTTCTTCCAACCACTTATCAATATTATAGACTTTTCTTACTTTCAACCTCTATTCTTTCTGTAAATAAGGATGAAGGAGACAAACTTGACATTTTTAAACTTTTCCTACATTTATTTTTCTTGATTTTTGGAAAGAGAACTTTGTTTCATTTGTCGGATATTTTTGTATTTCTAAAAATGAAGAGGAAGTACTTTTGTCCCAATGGAATATTTCGAAGAAAATGAGTTCTGTTTGCAGCATCATTCAGAAAGATTGATGAAGGAAAACCAAACACTGACCTAAATGGTTTTGAATGATTTCTTTGTTTATTCAGCAAACCAATAAATTGGTTGTCATTGATTAAGGCTCAATCTGTCATTCCTTGATATTCTAAGACTTCAATTTGTACTCCATTGCAAAAGCTTTATATACAAAATAAAATGTGAAATATGTCATTTTAGTTGTTTTACTTTATTTCCCAGCATATGAACAAAAATGTAATTTTTATTTTTTAGATTTTGAAAAAGAAATAAAAGAAAAATCGGATTTTACTGTCAGAAAATCTTAGCACATATCTACTGGGCTTGCTATCTATTGGAGATAGCAGTTTTTTTTCATCATGCTTTTTTTTTTTTTTTTTTTAGCGATCTCGTGGAGGTACCTAGGTTTATATAATGCTGCTCTAAAAACGGTGGTTACAGAGGCACTGAAATTAAGTATAGAAACCCTAACAGTGACAAGAGTAAGAACAAACGGGAAAATCATTTGGTATCCACCCCCAACCAGATGGTAAAAACTAAGCTAGGGCAGAAGTTTCTCAATCTAATTAATAAGCATTTTCCCAGTAATAATCCACTTAATAAAATCTTCAATAAAAACACACTGAAGTTAAGCTATAGTTCTACTGATAACCTTGAAAAAATTGTAAAGGAATCCAATAAAATTCTAAACCAGAACAGCAACGCAAAAAAATAGGATTAGTATAGATAATGCTAACAAATGTAATTGTAGAAAACCTAATAATTGCCCATTGCAAAAATATTTGATGAGAGCCCTAGTTTATTTTCACAACAGAAAACCAGTTTCTCAAAATATTCTATATAAGTAGCACCAAAAGTGCTTCTAAGCCTAGAAGCTATCATTCACAAATAGTGTTTATAAAAATAGAACCTCACTTTACAATTATTTTGGGAAATTAAAACATGGAAACGAAACACGTAAAGTAAAATGGAAAATACATAAAGAGCCTGTAAGTCTTTAAATGAACCATGTTTCCTATGCCTTAATGAAAAGTTGGGAATAATTCGATTTGAAGATAAATTGTTCATAAAATCAAAGAAGCGAGCTAAAAGTCAATTGTAGAGAGTGAACTACCTTAGAATATATTCTACACCCCATGGTTCATGCTCCCTCCTGCCACATGAATCCTAATCTTGTCTATCAGAAGAATAACTTTGGGCGGTAATAATTATAATGCAGCCCTCTATGAATATGTATGAATATGGATTAAACTATAGCTAGCTGTATGGATATATATGTGTGTGTGTGCACACATATGAACCCTGATGTCAGAGTAAACGGACGTTTCTTGTGTTTGTTTGTTTTTTTTTTTTTTTTTTTTTTTTTTTTCCTTGATGAAACAAAAAAAAAATGTCATCTTTAAAGGAATGTCTTGTTTTACTTTTAATCATCCATTATTCTTATATTTTTCTTTGTTTATTATATTATTTTATAATGTTAAAGGTATTATTTATTTACAGTATTTAATATACATATTTTTATAAACTTTTGTTCATATTTATTTAAGTCATGGCATACGATTTTTCTTTCATTTTATTTTAAAAAAAAAATTGTTTAGCAAGTGTAAGGATATCTCGCTAAGAGTTAAATATATTAAGAACATTTAATGTAGCTACCCTTGATGAGGTTTCTTTGGTTAGCAATCCTTTTAGTGTTGGTTTCCTGATTTAAAAGACTTCAGATGGTAAGGAAAACTCATGACAGCTTAACCCGGTCATTATATTGCATGTGTCTACCAAGAGGCGTGTACTGGCTGGTATTGACTGATCCGGAGAGGTTAAACTCCACGATAATAACATGAGGACTGTCATTCAGAGCTTCCATGGTAAGTCTTTTGCACCGTTATTTTTTTTATCGACAGATCCAAAAAGTGTGGATTGTCCGACACAAGCCTTCACCACTTGAAACAAATCATTGTGTTGGTTTTCTGACAACTACGTCTTATTAGTTCCACACATATCCAGCAACTGCGAAAAACTCAACGAAACAACGTCAACTTCATCTTGTCGCTTGGAATGTACAAACTCTCCAGGACAACAACTCAGCACCAGAAAGAAAAACAGCTCTGGTTGCATTGGAGCTAAAGTACAACATTGATATAGCTGCACTGAGAAGTGACCATCAGTCGACTACATGAAACTGGAAAGCAAAATAAGACACCTAATAGTGTTTCTACTGCACTTAGATACAATACATTCTCCTGTACTGTTTGTGGTCTTTTGTGCAATTCTGGAGCTGGTCTCAAAGGTGATGCCCGTTATAGGCATGCAGATAATTAGTTCATGATCATCGAACCTCATATGTCAAACTGTATGGGAGAATCCTATATATATATATATATATATATATTGGGCACCCTGAAACTAATGGTTAGCGAGCTTGTTTGGCTAGAACAATTACGACTGAGTAGTGAGTTCGATCTTCATTGGGTGCCCCATACTTTCGGCCTTGTACCACATCTAAGCTATGCTTGGAAAACCATTATGTATATATATGAAATGTGCATGAAAGAAGGCTTGCTGCCTAAATACACAAATTTTAAATTGCATGACATGGCAGCCAACAAGGACACTGTAACTTTTAAGAAAAATCTTGTTTTACGACAAATAACAAAAGCTAAGAACGAAACCCAACATATAAATAATGAAATCCCAAAACATATTGCTGTAATAAAAAACACTTTAATTGAGACTGAATATAATGAAGTACAATACCACATTAATATAAGTATTAATAATGATGAACTTGACCATCGACAAATAATTACAAAAAAATCTGTACAACTTATACAAAGGAAATATTGTACTTCCCAACAACCATGATAAATACATAAACCTATCCAGTCACATATTAATGGAATTTTTAAATCAAGGACCAAATTGCCATCTCCAACCTAAATTCGACCTTCTCACAAAGAAGACTGAAATTGAAATCTTACATCAATCATTATGTCAATTGGAAAAGGACAAATTAATAATACTCCTTGCAAACCTCAAAGATCTTCTCATGGTCTAAAAGATTATATTCCACGTAATAGAAACAAGAATATTCCAACAAAACTCAAAATTGCTGCTAAAGAATTAAAAAAACAACCCCAATATCAGGAAAGCTGATAAAGATTTAGGGATTTTTAAAAGCACCTTTCGGAATTGCCTGAGGAGTGAGGTCGCCCTCAAAACTTCACTGGCATCTATTTGGGTCGGTTCATTACGTTGATGGCTCACACTATCTTGCAGAGTCGAGAGCGACAGACAATGTGAACAACTCCAAACAACCAGAGACGGATTGGATTATCACAAAAAACTTCAGCACCTCATTGATGATCGTTCTAAATTTACTAAATTGAATAAGAACACTACTGAATCTCTAAATAATAATAAACTCATAACATCCAACAATGCTGTTGCAGGATCCCTAAAAATAAACAAAATTATTGGAGATTACCTATACCGTAATGTCAAAATACACAAACCGGAATACCATTTCTCAAATTCCAACATGCATATACCAACTATCAAAATTTCTCAATGATATTATTACCCCATATCTCCCTACTAACTATAACATTAAATCTACCCATGAATTTCTCCAAATTCTTAAAAGCACAAACCATTTTTTACTTAAAAAACAAACCAAGGCATTCTTGCGTCACTTGACGTAGAGAATTTATTTACTAAGTTTCCTGTCTCCGAAACTATTGATATTATCATGAATTCGGTGTATAAAAAATAATTTAATTTCACCTCCCTCAATCCAGCCCAATATTTTAAGGAAGCTATTTACTAAAATTATTAAACCTGAAATATATGTTCGTTATGTAGACGATATATTTATTTTAGCTGAAAACAAGAAATAGAAAATCTGAAAGCTACATTTCAACAAAATTCCGTCCTAAATTTTACTTATGAACTTAGTGAAAAAAATAAACTTCCTTTCTTAGATGTTCTCATCGATTTTAGTAATAATACTTTTAAAACTTCTCTTTATATAAAAAAAAACAATTAGGAAAGACCCTTTTCATCTTAATTTCTCTTGGAATTCGAAGAGAGAGAGAAGACGTGTTTTTCAAAGCTTTGCTGGTTTCAACGGATTTTTAAGAATGTAAAAATGTCGGATTAAGTATGGTAAATACAGATTTGAATAGTAAATGGAACAATCATTATTGAATTAATAGCTGGAAACTTTAAACATTATTGTAAAGGATTTGTAATTCAAGTCAGTATTTTTTTTCGAAGATTTGATTTCAAGGGAAAAATGAAATTAATGTCAAGCCGAGATTACAAGAATTAAGAGAAAAAGTTTTACATTAATTTTAGGAAAAAGGAGGGAAGAAAAAAATGTCTTCCTTCTTCTTTGCTGGAATGTGATCGTTGTTTTTCTTGTGGCAGCGTAAAAGAATCAGTTGTTCAAATTGTCAACGGTCTTTTTATTTATCTTGCGTAGGATTGACGAGAAGTGCTTCAGCGTCTCTGGTTGTTTGGAGTTGTTCACATTGTCTATCGCTCTCGACTCTGCAAGATAGTGTGAGCCATCAACGTAATGAACCGACCCAAATAGATGCCAGTGAAGTTTTGAGGGCGACCTCACTCCTCAGGCAATTCCGAAAGGTGCCTTTAAAAATCCCTAAATCTGTCAGAATCTCGGCAGCCGATGGCTTGGCTACTGCCATAGACCAGGCACTTGAACAGCTCGCTTGACTGGAATCACCTTTTCTCTTTTGTAACACTTGTGCTCGACATTCCTTATAATAAGGACTCTACATCATCTGTCTCATCTATTATGAAAAATAACATTTCTTTATTCAATTAGTCTAAAATAAATGCCACCGAATTTTCTAATCTTTCTAATCCTAATAGATTTCATCCTTCATCTACAATCAACGATTCTAAGAGACTCCGTACCCTCGTCAATGCTAAATTGATGGAGGGTGATGTCTCAGCTGCAGTTAGAGTATTGGTCTCCTCATCCGAGATTATACTAGCTACTACAACAGCAGAAGTTATCACAGCGCTCCATTGGAAACATCCTGCGTCACCATCAAATGTTAGAGTTGTTCAGATGGAAAACAATGATGCAAATATTGAAATCTTGAAGGAAGCGATGGTTACCGCTCTGAAATCTTTTTCAGGAAGCAGTAGTGGCGGTGTGGACGAGCTACGACCTGGTCTCATCAAGGACTTAATTTCTGCTCACACTGCCGAAGCTGGTGAACATTTGAAAACATCCATAACAGCTCTTATTAAATACCCTTCTCCGATGCCCGCGACTTAATATTTTCAGCCAACATAACGGCTGCTTTTTTTTTTTTTTTTTTTTTTAAAAAAAAAAAAAGACGAGGGTATCCGCCCTATCACTCTTGGAGACATTTTTCGTCGTCTCGCGGCAAAAATTGTTTGTAGAGTTGTTGTGAAGGAGATAGGGCTTGAATTGCGACCTGTCCAGCTCGGGGGAAGCGTACAGGGCGGATGTGAAGCCGCATTTGATGCCACAAGATCATTTTTCGAGAATACATCACCTGTTTCCTCCCGTATCTTATTAAAATTGGGTATGAAAAACGCTTTCAATAGCATCAGAAGGGATCATGCCCTGGAAGTTTGCCATCAACGAACTCCTTCCATATTTAAACTGGTTCATCTTTCGTATAGTTATGCAAGTATGTTGATCGGCTCCGATAATATTATCTCTTCTGCTACCGGAATCCAGCAAGGTGATCCACTTGGTCCGCTACTATTTACGATGGCTATTGACGGGGTAGCTCGTTCCATCGCTTCTCCTTTCAATATATGATATCTTGACGATGTGGCAATTATAAAATTTTGGCATTGTCTCGATATAGGTGAGAGGATTGTTATCATTTACTTTGCCATTCGACGTCTTACCGTCTGTTGGCAATCTCCAGAAAATAGTGGTGAATTGAGATTTGACGAGATAAAAGAATTTAATTCCTTAACAAATCAAGGATTCCATGATAAGGCTAACTTGGCGTAGAGAACCAGATGGCAAACTTTGACAGTGATTAATGAGACGGTAAGAGTGCTGGATAAGTGACTTTTGGGTAGCCCAGGAAAAAGAGAACATGTGATAAAAAAAATTAATTGTCAAGGAGAATTTTGTAAACAAAAATTCTAGATTATAATTTTAAGGAGGCCAGCTCGATCACACCCGCACTGCCGAGAGATCATTGGTCGTATGGTAGCATGGTGATGGGCGGAGGTGAATGGATGAGAAAGACGATGTTAACGCCCACTGAAAGGATTGGTATGAGATATCAATGTGAGAGAGAAAGAGTCTAGGAGGATAGCTCTCCTCCGACCTTCCCTCACGAACGACGGAGACCCCATCCCCGAAATGGGAAGTGTTTAATTTTCTAAAAATGGGAAGTAATCAATTTTGCTGTCCTGACAACAAAGAGATTTCTTGTTAGAAATAGAGATTACCGAGAACCCCAGGCCGCGTCGGGCCCACACACCTGGTTTTGGTCGGTACCCATATAAACGAACGACGATGGGTCGTTCAGCAGTTGCAGTTGTAGTAAAGTTACAGTTGAAGTTGAGTTGAGCTGGTTTTGAACCAGGGTGTTGCCTCAAAGAAGCTGACCGAGAGATTCCATGACCTCCGACTTCGCCGATGCTACCAATAGCAAGTTATACTGACGAACGAAGTTAAGCCAGCACTTAAAAACTAAACCTGTTGACTTAGAGGACCAACTTGCTTGAAACATAGAAGTGTCACATTTCGTAGAAAACGGGCTGGGAGAAAAACACGCTCCTGTATACAACAGAAGGATAAAGTTAATTTGTTATTTCTTAACATACTTGAACCTCGTGGGTTTTTCTTTTATTTATTTATTTTCTTTGCGCTTGTGCGATACCACCTTCAATCTGGACTCAGCCTACACTACAAAGTCACAACGTGGCTAGGTTAGACTTGAGATCGAAGCAGTTACTCCAGTAACCAGACGTTGCAAGTGAGCTGAGAACGATAGAGTTGGCATTGAACCGGTACAACTGGTGAAGCCGTTAACATCGACGACCAGAACTCGATCCGGGTGCCACATATTGGTACCGTAACCACTGGATTCGACCCTGGACAGCTGAGTGTCACATATTGGTATCCTGACCAGGCGATTTCGCCGAGTAGCGACAACTACCGAACGACCGGGACACAGGCTGGTGGCAGTGACCGACCGTGGTGACGGAGAGCGGCCGGATGGCATTACCATTTTCCCTTTTAAAATGGGGAAGTCGTTGATTTGGGATACAACTTGTGCGGATACATTTTCGACCGGTAATTTTATCAGGTTCGCAGTTGAGCCGGAGATATAAAAAAAAAAAAAAAATTAAATATTCTTCTTTTGCTGTTAGATTTTTTTTTTTTTTTTTTTTTTAATACTCCTGTGGCAGTAGAGACTTCTAGAGGATTGGCACGATGTCGTCTCGATTAAGGGATGAGCCTCGCGAAACGGAGTGGCTCTTGCAGCGTGTCTCACTGGCGATGGTTCGAGGTAATGCTTTCTCTATCATTGCGGCAGGCAGAGGATAGCAAAAAAAAATGTTTATAGTTACTTTGTCCAAACTTTTTTCAATAAATAATTCTTTTACGATTTTAAAAAATTTATCGATTTTGCGAAATAACCATGGCTTTCAAAAAAAATTCTCTAGTGAATGCCCTAAAATAGGTGTTATTAAAAATTTCCTCACGAGAGCGCACGAGAATTCATCCTCTCGCACGCTTTTTAAAAAAGAAACAATGTAAAACAAACGCTGATTAATAATGGATTTCCTAATCAATTGTTGGATTAGGCGTTTTCTGTCTAAGGTAGCTAATAGCAACGGCGAGAATAGAAACATAAACAATAACATTAATATTTTTTATACAAATCAAATGAACGAACGAAAGTAGAATTAAGAACATTATAAAAAATACATTATACCAATTGACAATAGGAAAATAATTAGATTAATTATTTATTATAAAAAATTTAAAATATCTAAACTTATAGTTAAAAGTAATAATTCACCTCTTAGAACAAAATTAAATAGGGGCAAATATTATTTACGAATTGAAATGCCCATTAAGGAATTCTATTCCTGATCAATCAAAATTCGTAAATAATTATAGAGGCCACACTACAACATGTTTGACACGCAGACTCACTCTACACCTTTTAGACCATCATCAGGACACTTTCATTAAGCATAATTAACATTAGAACATATAAAATTCAACATGAAAAGACGATGGACATAAGAGCACAACTGGTATTTATTCATACAAAAAGTACAAATTGTGGCACGGGGCCAATAAAGGGGAGGGGTAGAGGCTGGTCAACACTAACTATCTTATACCTAGCTAATCAGATTCGCGACCCATTCGTACATTACATTTTACTCATTCACCAAAAGAACTCGTCCATCACCAAACAATCCTTCAACCACCATAATACCACGTGCTCTCAAGGGAGACCTACCAAAATCGCGCCCCATGCCATAAAAATTTTAATGATGATATATATATATATATATATATATATATATATATTCTAATAATGATAAAATGAAAGGGGAGGAAATGAAATAAAATAATAAACTTAAAATAAACACACATACAAACTAAACATAATTGATGTTAGTAGGGACCCTCCAACCCATAAAACAGAGAGACCGCTGTATTCTGCCCAGGGGACAAAATCAAGAGACGCTCTCGCTAAGGGAGTGGGAAAAAGTATAAAACATTAGGCTGGAATGGGAAAATATAAAACTGACCCAGTCGAGATGAAAGGGGGGGTCAAAAACAAACTGGGGAGGTTGGGAATCTCGACTTGGATCATAACCAAAGAACGGCCGGGATGCAGGCCAGGAACAACACTTACTCACATTAACTAGGTACACTGAAGCTTGTCTAACCTAACCAAGGGAGGGTTCCACAGGAAAGCCACCCCGATGTGCAATAGGTTGACCTAGAAGAGAAAATCAAGGCTAGCCCCGTTCACACGAAGCAAGCTCGCTTCTTTTACCCACCTTTCGCTAAAGACTGTCGAATGCAATCGTTTTCTATCCGTTCTAATCTTCATCTTGAGCTGATGCTCAAAGAATCGAATTAGATCCGAATGAGAAAGACGATTGCCTCGCAAGACTTCCTCCTTTCGCGTCGTCCAAATCACCATTCGAGCCGTGGCCATCAGCGTCAGAAACACCATCCGTTTCATCCCGGAATACGGGGGCGACACATTGTCACACGCGTATGCGCGATCAATGGACACAAGCTGTTCGGGACGGACCTGGGGGCAATGGTAGAACGCGTGCGCAGCCGTTTTTTCTAAGCCAAGGCCACACCGTTCACAGTCTGGCAAATCCGCCAAGCCCCATATGAAAGCCATGTCGTTGAGAGGCAGCCGATTCCGAGCCAATCGCCAGCTAAGCGAAAACTCAGGGTTACTGAGGTAATCCGCCGCTGGCGCCCAAGACCAGTAGGAGCGAAACTCCTCCTCCGACATGCCGAGCATATCTCGTAGGGGATCCTTCGCGGGCCTCTCCACTAATTCACGATAGAAGACCTTCCTAGGCCGAGAAAGGTCACTGGACCGGGGAACGGCCTTCAAGGCCGACCGACACTCGCGAAGGAAAACCGATTGATCCCGGGGTTTACGACCGCGCTCAACCCGCGAGATAGGGGGACTGATGGTAAGGCCAGGGAACGCGTCCCTAACAATCCCCTCCATAATCGGATCTCCTCCAGTCAATGCGCGGCGTAGGAAAGCTAACCTAGAGGCACGGATGTGACTCGGCAGGTGCGGCATTCCCAGCCCCCCATGAGACGGAGGTTTAGTGAAGACTCGTCTGTCGACCCGATTCCCGCGTCCCCTCCATAAAATGGAGGATAGCGAGCGTTCGAGCGCCTTCTTGTGGGTCTTACAGAGAGGAAGTACGGACAATCGATAAAGAATCAGGGGGAAAATGTATGTAGCACACACCTCCGCCCTGCCCTTCACGGACAACCTCCGTCGATTCCAAGTCTGACCGGCGGAATCGAACTTTGCTCGTACTTCAGACAAATTCTTCTCCAGCTGGAGGTCAGGCCCAAACCATACTCCAAGAATGCGGATAGGACCGTCTGTCCAACTGAAGCGGCCCGGAAGAGCGACCCCCTTCCAGGCACCTAACCGCAAGCCGGACGACTTGTCGCGGTTTATTTTGGCCCCTGTCACCGTCTCGTACCGATCAAGCGCCTTCTGTACCGCCTCAGTGTCGTTGCGGGACGACACGAAAGCAGATACGTCATCGGCGCACGCGGAAACCCTGGCTCGAGACCCTCCAGGAACGGCAATTCCACGTAGGGCCGGACTGCCGGTCTCGTCCTTCAGCCGGCGAAGGAGAGGCTCCAACGCCAAAGCATAAAGGTGAGGCGACAGCGGACAACCCTGACGAACCGACCTAGACAGCACGAACGCGTCCGACAACCTTCCGTTCACCTGTACCAGAGCGCTGGGGGAGCGATACAGGAGGCTAATCCAGCGGCAGAAGTTGGGTTCGAATCCAGCGGCCTGCAGGACAGCAGCAAGGTAGCGATGGTCGACCCTATCAAATGCCTTGAACTGATCCAAATTGATCAGCGCGGCTTCTTCGTCGTCTTTTACACCCTCTATGATCGTGCGGATCAGATGCAGGTTGCTCTGAATTGTTCGGCCCTTCATAGAACAAGTCTGCTCAGGTCCCAACAGAGACTCGGCAACTGACTGCAAACGCTCCTGCAGGATTTTGGCCATAATCTTTAACTCTGTGTTTAGC